CCCCCCAAAATTCAGGAATTCCACCTCGATAAGGGCGCAGATCATCCCGGGGCTCCTCATCCTCGTCCATCCCGGAATTTTTCGGGAATTTTGAAGATTTTTTGGAAATTTTTCCGGGATCGGGATTGAATTCCCCACCCCCGGATTTTCCGGGAATGACCCCCGGGAGGGGTTAAAATTTAACCCCGGGAATTTTCGGGATCGGATCCCAGGAATTTTTTTTTTGGGATTGGAGAGGATCCAGTGCTGAAAATTCCGGGATTGGAGAGGTCGATTTTTCCTTTCATTCAGGATTTTTTGGGAATTTTGTGGGAATTTTGGGGATTTTTGGGAATTTTTGGGGGATTTTTGGGAATTTTTGAGGGCTTTTGGGAATTTTTGTGGATTTTGGGGGATTTTTGGGCATTTTTTTGGAAATTCCTTTTGGAATTTCTTTTTTTTTTTGGAATTTCCTTTTGATTTCTCCTTTCATTGAGGATTTTTGGTAATTTTTTTTAATTTTGTGAATTTTTGTGGATTTTTGTGGATTTTTGAGGATTTTTGGGGTTTTTTTGTGGATTTTTGGGGATTTATTTTTTTTATTTTGTGTGCGTTTTGTGGATTATTTTTTATTTTGGGCAATTTTGTGGATTTTTTTTTGTAATTATTTTTTTATTTTTGTGGGATTTTGTGGGATTTTTTGGAATTCCAGAGGATTTTGGGGTCAAAAGGGCTCAAAATGGCTCCTCCCAGTAACTCCCAGTCACCCCCAGTGATCCCTCCGGGCATCCCGGGCACCCAAAACTCCTCCCAGTAACTCCCAGTGACCCCTCAGGGCCTCTCAGGTCACTCCAAACTCCTCCCAGTAACTCCCAGTAACTCCCAGTGACCCCTCAGGGCATCCCAGGACACCTCAAACTCCTCCCAGTAACTCCCAGTAACTCCCAGTTCCCTCCCAGTAACTCCCAGTGACCCCCAGTAACTCCCAGTGACCCCTCAGGGCCTCTCAGGTCACCCCAAACTCCTCCCAGTAACTCCCAGTTCCCTCCCAGTGACCCCTCAGGTCACTCCAAACTCCTCCCAGTAACTCCCAGTGCCCCCAGTAACCCCTCAGAGCACCCAAAGGACCTCCCAGTAACTCCCAGTGACTCCCAGTGACCCCTCAGGGCATCCCAGATCACTCCAAACTCCTCCCAGTAACTCCCAGTTCCCTCCCAGTAACTCCCAGTAACTCCCAGTAACTCCCAGTTCCCTCCCAGTAACTCCCAGTGACCCCTCAGGGCATCCCAGATCACTCCAAACTCCTCCCAGTAACTCCCAGTTCCCTCCCAGTAACTCCAGGACATCCCAAACTCCTCCCTGTTCCCTCCCAGTTCCCTCCCAGTAACTCCCAGTAACCCCCAGCTCCCTCCCAGTGACTCCCAGTGACCCCTCAGGGCCTCTCAGGACACCTCAAGCTCCTCCCAGTAACTCCCAGTTCCCTCCCAGTGACTCCCAGTGACCCCTCAGGGCATCCCGGGCACCC